TGCCACGCCAGTGACCACTGCCACGCCAGTGACCACTGCCACGCCAGTGACCACTGCCACGCCAGTGACCACTGCCACGCCAGTGACCACTGCCACGCCAGTAACCACTCCCACGCCAGTAACCACTCCCACGCCAGTAACCACTCCCACGCCAGTAACCACTCCCACGCCAGTAACCACTGCCACGCCAGTAACCACTCCCACGCCAGTGACCACTGCCACGCCAGTAACCACTCCCACGCCAGTAACCACTCCCACGCCAGTAACCACTGCCACGCCAGTGACCACTGCCACGCCAGTAACCACTCCCACGCCAGTAACCACTCCCACGCCAGTAACCACTGCCACGCCAGTAACCACTCCCACGCCAGTAACCACTGCCACGCCAGTAACCACTGCCACGCCAGTAACCACTGCCACGCCAGTAACCACTCCCACGCCAGTAACCACTGCCACGCCAGTAACCACTCCCACGCCAGTAACCACTGCCACGCCAGTAACCACTCCCACGCCAGTAACCACTGCCACGCCAGTAACCACTGCCACGCCAGTAACCACTCCCACGCCAGTAACCACTCCCACGCCAGTGACCACTCCCACGCCAGTAACCACTCCCACGCCAGTAACCACTCCCACGCCAGTAACCACTGCCACGCCAGTAACCACTGCCACGCCAGTAACCACTCCCACGCCAGTAACCACTCCCACGCCAGTGACCACTCCCACGCCAGTAACCACTCCCACGCCAGTAACCACTCCCACGCCATTTACCTCAACCACTTCAAAAAGTCGTCTTCTCTCTCACAGTTATAATAACTACGAATGTTTTCTTGTTAGAGACACTGATCTGTGTTACTCTAAACGAAAAATTATGTGTTCTCTGAACCCATAATAGTTTAGCGCCTCTTTATAGTCTAATATAAACATATAATATAGAGAGATATGTGTCATAATCTCTGTATGGTAAATGCTGGGATACAAAATACTTTATATACAATATTATTGCAATAAGAACTTACTGGAGTAAGAGGTATGGACAACAATGTAAAATATTAAACACACTTCCATAGCAACTTACTGGAGTAGACTCATGGGAAAAAGTTAACAATAGACACATTGAGAAGCATAGATGACATGCAGAACAGTGTTAACATTAGTGGTCCACGAGCTTGTTAAAATACGTACAAGAGGTGAAGTGACACGTACCCAATTACTGATTGCTTACTTACTCCCATTTTTGTCCAAGGCTTGTTTTCCAGCAGCACCAGAGAGTCTGACACATGGTAACATTTCCAGCAGAACCAGAGAGTCTGACACATGGTAATATTTCCAGCAGCACCAGAGAGTCTGACACATGGTAATATTTCCAGCAGCACCAGAGAGTCTGACACATGGTAATATTCCAGCAGCACCAGAGAGTCTGACACATGGTAATATTTCCAGCAGCACCAGAGAGTCTGACACATGGTAATATTTCCAGCAGCACCAGAGAGTCTGACACATGGTACATTTCCAGCAGCACCAGAGAGTCTGACACATGGTAATATTTCCAGCAGCACCAGAGAGTCTGACACATGGTAATATTTCCAGCAGCACCAGAGAGTCTGACACATGGTAATATTTCCAGCAGCACCAGAGAGTCTGACACATGGTAATATTTCCAGCAGCACCAGAGAGTCTGACACATGGTAATATTTCCAGCAGCACCAGAGAGTCTGACACATGGTAATATTTCCAGCAGCACCAGAGAGTCTGACATATCGCAATATTTCCGGCAGCACCAGAGAGTCTGACCCATGGTAATATTTCCAGCAGCACCAGAGAGTCTGACCCATGGTAACATTTCCAGCAGCACCAGAGAGTCTGACACATCGCAATATTTCCAGCAGCACCAGAGAGTCTGACCATGGTAATATTCAGCAGCACCAGTAGTCTGACACATGGTAATATTTCCAGCAGCACCAGAGAGTCTGACACATGGTAATATTTCCAGCAGCACCAGAGAGTCTGACACATGGTAATATTTCCAGCAGCACCAGAGAGTCTGACATATCGCAATATTTCCGGCAGCACCAGAGAGTCTGACCCATGGTAATATTTCCAGCAGCACCAGAGAGTCTGACCCATGGTAACATTTCCAGCAGCACCAGAGAGTCTGACACATCGCAATATTTCCAGCAGCACCAGAGAGTCTGACCCATGGTAATATTTCCAGCAGCACCAGAGTCTGACACATGGTAATATTTCCAGCAGCACCAGAGAGTCTGACCCATGGTAATATTTCCAGCAGCACCAGAGTCTGACACATGGTAATATTTCCAGCAGCACCAGAGGTCTGACACATGGTAATATTTCCAGCAGCACCAGAGAGTCTGACACATGGTAATATTTCCAGCAGCACCAGAGAGTCTGACACATGGTAATATTTCCAGCAGCACCAGAGAGTCTGACACATGGTAATATTTCCAGCAGCACCAGAGAGTCTGACACATGGTAATATTTCCAGCAGCACCAGAGAGTCTGACACATGGTAATATTTCCAGCAGCACCAGAGAGTCTGACACATGGTAATATTTCCAGCAGCACCAGAGAGTCTGACACATGGTAATATTTCCAGCAGCACCAGAGAGTCTGACACATGGTAATATTTCCAGCAGCACCAGAGTCTGACACATGGTAATATTTCCAGCAGCACCAGAGAGTCTGACACATGGTAATATTTCCAGCAGCACCAGAGTCTGACACATGGTAATATTTCCAGCAGCACCAGAGTCTGACACATGGTAATATTTCCAGCAGCACCAGAGTCTGACACATGGTAATATTTCCACTGACTGACGCCTAGAGATTCTTAAACATTTACATTGAAATGTTTCTGTGGGCTGACATGGGTGTGGTCAAGGTCATGGTGAGGGTCATGGTGAGGGTCATGGTGAGGGTCATGGTGAGGGTCATGGTGAGGGTCATGGTCATGGTCAGGGTCAGAGTCATGGTCAGGGTCTGGGTCATGGTCAGGATCATGGTCAGGGTCATGGTCAGGGTCATGGTCATGGTCATGGTCAGGGTCATGGTCAGGGTCAGGGTGGGTCAGGGTCAGGGTCAGGGTCATGGTCAGGGTCATGGTCAGGGTCAGGGTCAGGGTCAGGGTCATGGCCAGGGTCAGAGTCAGGGTCAGGGTCATGGTCTGTAGTCATGGTCAGGGCCAGGGTCATGGTCAGGGCCATGGTCAGGGTCAACAGTCAGCAGAGATATAAAGAAACTTGCTCCTACCTTTCATAGGATGAATATCGCGTCTTAGGGATTATGTAGAACAGGATGATAAACTATGTATGATTGTGGTAACTAGTGACATGGTCCTCAGACAAATAGAGAAATTAAAACCTAACAAATCCTAAGGCCCTGATGAACTGTTTGCAAGGGTGTTAAAGGAATGTAAAGAGGAACTTAGCATACCTTTGGCTAATCTTTTTAACATATCACTACAAACTGGCATAGTGCCTGATAAGTGGAAAATGGCAAATGTAATACCTATTAACAAGGCAGGTGACAGGTCCTTGGCTTCGAACTATAGACCAATAAGCCTTACCTCCATAGTGGGAAAATTTATGGAATCAATAATTGCCGAAGCAATTCGTAGCCATCTTGACAAGCACAGATTGATTAATGAATCTCAACACGGTTTTACAAAGGGGCGTTCCTGTCTTACGAATTTACTAAATTTTTTCACTAAGGTGTTTGAGGAGGTAGATCATAGTAATGAATATGATGAAATTAAGACACATGTGCAACATCTGGGTATCTTTATTGTAGACGTTTCGCCATCCTGTGGCTTAATTCGCCACTGGATGGCGAAACGTCTACAATAAAGATACCCAGATGTTGCACATGTGTCTTAATTTCATCTTGTCGGTATTATATACCATTCTTGCACAATGAATATGATATTGTGTATACGGAGTTCAGTAAGGCTTTCGATAGAGTTCCACACCAGAGGCTATTGAGGAAACTTAAGGCACACGGAATAGGAGGAGAAATTTTTTCCTGGGTAGAGGCATGGCTGACAAATAGGCAGCAGAGAGTTTGCATAAATGGGGAGAAATCAGAATGGGGGCACGTCACAAGCGGTGTTCCTCAGGGGTCAGTGTTGGGCCAGTTGTTGTTCACAATTTACATAAACGATATAGATGAGGGAATAAATAGCGACATAAGCAAATTTGCTGATGACACCAAAATAGGCCGTCCAATTCATTCTAATGAGGACACTAGAGCACTCCAGGATGATTTGAATAGACTGACGCAATGGTCGGAGAAGTGGCAGATGCAGTTTAATATTGACAAATGCAAAGTTCTAAATGTTGGACAGGTAAATAACCATGCAACATATAAACTAAATAATGTAGATCTTAATACGACTGATTGCGAAAAGGATTTAGGAGTTCTGGTTAGCAGTATTCTAAAACCATGACAACAGTGCATTAGTGTTCGCAATAAAGCTAACAGAATTCTTGGCTTCATATCTAGAAGTATAAGTAATAGAAGTCTATTTGTTAAGAAATTATAAATCCATCCACTGACTTTTCCTGTTTTTCCTTTATCACGCATTTTGTGCGCCATTACACCATGGTCACACTTATCAAAGGCTTTTGCAAAGTCTGTGTATATTATATCTGCATTCTGTTTGTCTTCTAGAGCATCCAGGACCTTGTCATAGTGGCCCAGTAGTTGGGACAGACAGGAGCCACCTGCTCTAAGCCCATGCTACCCTGGGTTGTGTAACTGATGGGTATTTAGATGGGTGGTGATCTTGCTTCTTATAACCCTTTCAATGATTTTTATGAAATGGGACGTTAGCGCTATCGTTCTGAGAGGAAAGGTAGTTCACCAATTTGCCAGTGGCAGTATTTGCCAGTGGCAGTATTTGGGCAGCCGTGTTCGTAGGGATGGAATCTGGGATCACGGCTCCTGTGTGTATGGTACGTAATATTATCTTCATTTAAATCCTATTAACCCACTTTTTTTTCTCGCCAGGATGATGGTAATAGTTCGAAGTGTGTTGTTAGTGGTGTGCGTGAGCAGTATGGTGTTGTCTGCTACGGTGTTCCAAGGCACCTGCTCCTCCTCCTCAGCCTGTGGTCCCTCCGCCTGCTGCAAAATCGGTACGTCAGTAGCCTTTCAACTCATCCACTCAAGACCACAGTCCTTCAATACTATGAGCTAAGACCATGGTAAAATAAACACTGACAATTAACCAGAATGTTTGTTGTGTGTTGTATGAATAATACAACCGTTGTTGTTCCCACTTGTCTCTTACATCGTTGTTGTTCCCACTTGTCTCTTACATCCTTGTTGTTCCCACTTGTCTCTTACATCATTGTTGTTCCCACTTGTCTATTACATCATTGTTGTTCCCACTTGTCTCTTACATCGTTGTTGTTCCCACTTGTCTCTTACATCGTTGTTGTTCCCACTTGTCTCTTACATCATTGTTGTTCCCACTTGTCTATTACATCATTGTTGTTCCCCCTTGTCTCTTACATCGTTGTTGTTCCCACTTGTCTCTTACATCATTGTTGTTCCCACTTGTCTCATATCGTTGTTGTTCCCACTTGTCTCTTACATCGTTGTTGTTCCCACTTGTCTCTTACATCGTTGTTGTTCCCACTTGTCTCTTACATCGTTGTTGTTCCCACTTGTCTCTTACATCGTTGTTGTTCCCACTTGTCTCTTACATCGTTGTTGTTCCCACTTGTCTCTTACATCGTTGTTGTTCCCACTTGTCTCTTACATCGTTGTTGTTCCCACTTGTCTATTACATCATTGTTGTTCCCACTTGTCTCTTACATCGTTGTTGTTCCCACTTGTCTCTTACATCATTGTTGTTCCCACTTGTCTCATATCGTTGTTGTTCCCACTTGTCTCTTACATCGTTGTTGTTCCACTTGTCTATTACATCCTTGTTGTTCCCACTTGTCTCTTACATCGTTGTTGTTCCACTTGTTTCTTACATCGTTGTTTTTCCCACTTGTCTATTACATCCTTGTTGTTCCCACTTGTCTCTTACATCGTTGTTGTTCCCACTTGTCTCTTACATCGTTGTTGTTCCCACTTGTCTTTTACATCATTGTTGTTCCACTTGTCTCATATTTGTTGTTGTTCCACTTGTCTCTTACATCGTTGTTGTTCCCACTTGTCTATTACATCCTTGTTGTTCCCACTTGTCTCTTACATCGTTGTTGTTCCCACTTGTCTCTTACATCCCTTTTTGTTCCCACTTATTTCTTACATCGTTGTTGTTCCCAAATTGTCTTTACATCCTTTTTGTTTTCCCCCTTATTTCTTACATCGTTGTTGTTCCCACTTGTCTCTTACATCCTTGTTGTTCCACTTGTCCCCTTTTCATCCTTGTTGTTCCCACTTGTCTCTTACATCCTTGTTGTTCCCACTTGTCTCTTACATCGTTGTTGTTCCCACTTGTCTCTTACATCGTTGTTGTTCCCACTTGTCTCTTACATCGTTGTTGTTCCCATTGTCTCTTCATCTTTGTTGTTCCCCCTTGTTCTTACATCGTTGTTGTTCCCACTTGTCTCATACATCGTTGTTGTTCCTACTTGTCTCTTACATCGTTGTTGTTCCCAGTTGTCTCTTACATCCTTGTTGTTCCCACTTGTCTCATACATCGTTGTTGTTCCCACTTGTCTCTTACATCGTTGTTGTTCCCACTTGTCTCTTACATCCTTGTTGTTCCCACTTGTCTCTTACATCCTTGTTGTTCCCACTTTTCTCTTACATCTTTGTTGTTCCCACTTGTTCTTACATCGTTGTTGTTCCCCCCTTGTCTTTTTATATCGTTGTTGTTCCCACTTGTCTCTTACATCTTTGTTGTTCCCACTTGTCTCTTACATCGTTGTTGTTCCCACTTGTCTCTTACATCCTTGTTGTTCCCACTTTTCTCTTACATCTTTGTTGTTCCCACTTGTCTCTTACATCCTTGTTGTTCCTACTTGTCTCTTACATCGTTGTTGTTCCCAGTTGTCTCTTACATCTTTGTTGTTCCCCCTTGTCTCTTCATCGTTGTTGTTCCCACTTGTCTCTTACATCCTTGTTGTTCCCACTTTTCTCTTACATCTTTGTTGTTCCCACTTGTCTCATACATCCTTGTTGTTCCCACTTGTCTCTTACATCATTGTTGTTCCCCCTTGTCTCATACATCCTTTTTGTTCCACTTGTTCTTACATCGTTGTTGTTCCCATTGTCTCTTACATCCTTGTTGTTCCCACTTGTCTCTTACATCGTTGTTGTTCCCAGTTGTCTCTTACATCCTTGTTGTTCCCACTTGTCTCTTACATCCTTGTTGTTCCCACTTTTCTCTTACATCTTTGTTGTTCCCACTTGTCTCATACATCCCTTTTTGTTCCCACTTGTCTCTTACATCATTGTTGTTCCCACTTGTCTCATACATCCTTGTTGTTCCCACTTGTCTCTTACATCGTTGTTGTTCCCACTTGTCTCTTACATCCTTGTTGTTCCCACTTGTCTCTTACATCGTTGTTGTTCCCAGTTGTTCTTACATCCTTGTTGTTCCCCCTTGACTCTTACATCGTTGTTGTTCCCACTTGTCTCTTACATCCTTGGGTTTTTCTCAATTGTCTCTTACATCTTGTTTTCTCACGTGACTCTTAATCGTTGTTGTTCCCACTTGTCTTTACATCCTTGTTGTTCTCACTTGTCTCTTACATCCTTGTTGTTCTCACGTGACTTTACATCGTTGTTGTTCCCCCTTGTCTCCCTTACATCGTTGTTGTTCCCACTTGACTCTTACATCGTTGTTGGGTTTTCCCCCTTGACTCTTACATCGTTGTTGTTTCCCACTTGACTCTTACATCGTTGTTGTTCCACTTGTCTCATACATCTTTGTTGTTCCCACTTGTCTCTTACATCGTTGTTGTTCCCACTTGTCTCTTACATCCTTGTTGTTCTCACTTGACTCTTACATCGTTGTTGTTCCCACTTGTCTCTTACATCGTTGTTGTTCCCACTTGTCTCTTACATCGTTGTTGTTCCCACTTGTCTCTTACATCCTTGTTGTTCTCACTTGTCTCTTACATCCTTGTTGTTCTCACTTGACTCTTACATCGTTGTTGTTCCCACTTGTCTCTTACATCGTTGTTGTTCCCACTTGTCTCTTACATCGTTGTTGTTCCCACTTGTCTCTTACATCCTTGTTGTTCTCACTTGTCTCTTACATCCTTGTTGTTCTCACTTGACTCTTACATCGTTGTTGTTCCCGCTTGTCTCTTACATCGTTGTTGTTCCCACTTGTCTCTTACATCCTTGATGTTCTCACTTGACTCTTACATCGTTGTTGTTCCCACTTGTCTCTTACATCCTTGTTGTTCTCACTTGTCTCTTACATCCTTGTTGTTCTCACTTGACTCTTACATCGTTGTTGTTCCCACTTGTCTCTTACATCGTTGTTGTTCCCACTTGTCTCTTACATCCTTGATAATTGACTCTAGTAATTTGCCTACAATTGAGGTCAGGCTTATTGGGCGGTAATTTGACGGTAACGACTTGTCCCCTGTTTTAAAAATAGGAATTACATTAGCCATAGTTCCTTGATAATGTGAGTAGTCACGAAAGCGCTTGGAATTTCTCTATTCTTTCAGAGTGGTTTGTTTTGCATATATATATATATATATATATATATATATATATATATATATATATATATAATTATATATATATATATATATATATATATATATATATATATATATATACATATATATATATATATATATATATATATATATATATATATATATATATATATATATATATATATATATATATATATATATATATATATATATAATGTATATATATATTATTGAAAATTTAATAATTTGTACCAAACGAACCTTAAAAAACGTACCTAACATTATTATAACAAGCACAGTTTAATTTTACCTAATCCAACTAAATATGTTTTAGATAAGTTTACAATAATTTAATAAAAACAAATACAATGAAATATATATTTTTAGGTAGGTTCAGAATGATTTTTGCAAAATTATTTCAAACATAAATTTTTGCTTGCCTTATTCGGCAAGAAGAGTGTTGCTATTTAAGACAAAATCGCAAATTTTACCTATTCGGCACGACATATATAAGTATATACGTGAACTCGGAAAAATGGTAATGAACAACTGTAATGAACAACTGTAATGAACAACTGTAATGAACAACTGTAATGAACAACTGTAACATGAAACTGAGGGGTACTCACTGGTGTTTTTAGGAAGAAAATGGAAAACTGAAATACTGTATTTCATGCGATAATGTCTGACTGAGTATAGCATCTGACGAGCTTAAGGCTTCCATGATAGCTTGATTGCTCAACATCTGCGTGGCTTCATGCTTGATGTGCTTGTGTATTTTAGGACACTGGTTTCTTTGGTGTCCTAATTTACCATTTTAATACAAGAAATTTAGATGTTAGTTTCCATGTGATGACTTGTGAATGTCTCTTCTGATTCCCTTTAGATCTTTAAAATTAATATTTAACTATATTACCAATTTATGCCTCATTCTGTGCTATTGTCACATAGCTTGGTTGGTAGAGAATTCAGCTCACACACTGAGATCCGTGGTTCAATTCCCTGCACGGGTTGAAACATTGGGCGTATTTCTTTAAGACACCTGCTGTTCCCGTTCACCTAGCAATAAATAGGTACTTGGGAGTTAGTCGACTGGTGTGGGTCGCACCCTGGGGACATAACCTAAATAGCGGGAAATGCTCCGCATAACAAGGGACTTTCTATATAATATGTCATTGATGTGAGCTATGGTCTGTATAAGTTGTATCATGTATTCGTAGAAAAAAATATTATTGTTATTAAAATCAGGTGGAAGATGGATCCCGTTCTGGGACGCTCACCTACCGTCAATACACCTAATTAATACTTCGTTCTGCAAGGCACTAGGTGTGTATGTGGTAGATTAGAATCTGATTTTCATGGGCCAGTAGGCCAGTAGGCCAAGAAACTTCTTCATCGCTATCCCACATAAGAACATAGAACACTGCAGAAGGTCTACTCACAACTTGTCCAATACCCCTGCCAAGCTACCCAAGACTCTATAACCCCACCCGGTAGATCATCAGATGCAGCATTCTCCACCTGACCTCAACATTCTGAACATGACTATAAATACTCCCGTACCTTCCAACCCCAGGTAGATCCGTGTGTGACTTGAAAAAGCCCACTGTGTGGGTGAAACGTTGTCAATAAAGGATCACATTATACTGCATTTATGTTTATATTTCCATTGTGTCGGTATTTGATACCATTTATTTCCATCCAGGCCTACTTCAGAGGTTGTTCATGCTCATGTTGTTATGTTTGTGTTACAGGATACATGAGGTACAGTTATCCGAACTGTCACCCGCTGGGTGGTGTTGGTGACTGGTGTCGCCTGGAAGTGATAGTCTCAGACCGTAACCTTCACTACCCCAACAATGTTACGGTCAGTCTCACTCATTTATCTTCCATTATTTTATCCCCTTTCTTTTACTGTCTTTACCTCTCTTCTCATCTCCACTTCCCTCTCCTTTTTTCTCTCGTCTCGTCTCCTCTCCTCTCCCTTCTCTTCTTCTCTCCCCACTTCTCTTTAATTTCATCTCCTCTTCCCTCTCCTCTCCTCTCTAATCTCCTCTGCCCTCTCCTCTTCTCTCTATTCTCCTCTCCCTTTCCCCTCTCCCCTAATCTCTTCTCTGCCGTTCTCTTCTTCTCATAAGAACAAGAACAAAGTCACAAGTGAACAGCATCAAAATCATGGTAGCTATAAGAACACAAATGCACCAAATGTGACGTTTTATTGTGGCAATGTTTCTCTCTCCTGTGTCCACCTAACATTTTGTTGGTTAACTCTGCCATTACCACAGTTATGTTGACGACGGTACAAGTATGTGGTCTGAGACACAAGTATGTAGTCTGTGACACAAGTATGTGGTCTGTGACATAAGTATTTGGTATGTGACACAAGTATGTGGTCTGTGACACTATTATGTGGTCTGTGACACTAGTATGTGGTCTGTGACACTAGTATGTGGTCTATGACACTAGTATGTGGTTTGTGACACTAGTATGTGGTTTGTGACACTAGTATGTGGTTTGTGACACTAGTATGTGGACTAAGAAACAAGTATCCGTGTACATTCATTTTCAATATTTTTATGTCTTGTCTGTTGCCATCTGTGGAAGATGGTCTCTGTTACCACCTGTTGAAGATGGTCCCTAACTGTTATTATCTGTGAAAGATGGTCTCTGACTATTACCAACTGCATAAGATGGTACCTGACTGTTACCATCTGTTGAAGATGGTCCCTGACTTTTCATCTGTTGACGTTGGTCTCTGTCTTCTGTTGAAGATGTTCTCTGACTATTGTCTTCTCTTGAAGATGTTTTCTGACTATTGTCTTCTCTGGAAGATGTTCTCTGACTATTGTCTTCTCTTGAAGATGCTCTCTGACTATTGTCTTCAGTTGAAGATGGTCTCTAACTATTGACTTCAGTTGAAGATGTTCTCTGACTGTTGTCTTCAGTTGAAGATGTTCTCTGACTGTTGTCTTCAGTTGAAGATGTTCTCTGACTGTTGTCTTCAGTTGAAGATGTTCTCTGACTGTTGTCTTCAGTTGAAGATGTTCTCTGACTGTTGTCTTCAGTTGAAGATGTTCTCTGACTGTTGTCTTCTACTGAAGATGGTCTCTAAATCATTGTCGTCTTCTGAGAATAGTCTAATCGTTGCCTTTGTTAAAGATTGTCTCTCAACGAGGCCCAAATATTCACATTTGGCCTCTTTCCATTATCTGTTCCAAAGGTTCCTGAGTGTACCTTTACCACGTCTTAAGACATTTTAAATCAATTATACTCCAGGAATTCATAGATTTCAACTACTATATTGTTCTTTGTCTTCTTTCTTCTTCACGTTTCTGCTTCAAGAGATCATTATGACCTGTCGGTTAATTATACTGGTATTCCTAAAACAGGGATTTAAGCAAGTTCTCAACATATATATTGAGAGATATACATCCATGGATATATTTACAGGGAGAGACAAACTTCTATGTGTGTATATTAAAGACATTCGTTTCCGGGTGTATTTAAGTCATAAATTTCTGATTATGTACACATACAACAATAAACACTATGTATATACATTTTAGACACCCAGCTTTGTGTGTTTACACTGTGAGACATACACTTCTAAGTGTATATACAACGAGGGACGAACACCTTTGGATGTATATATAGTGGGAGATGAACACCTCTGTAGCAAATGCACAGAAACGATATACATCTCTGGGTGAATATATTTTTCAAAGATAGGCATATTTGAGTGTTATATTACCGAGATATTTACTTCTAGGTGTATATGCACTATGAATTATATCTCAAGGTGTATATACATCTAGCGACATGCTTCTCTCTATATACACACTATTATATACATGTTTAAGTATATAAGCACCAAGTAACATGCACCTCGACGTACATCTCTAAGTGTTTTACACCAAACCAAATGTCTAGGTGTATTAAGATATACACCTCTCGGTACATGACTATGAGAGTCAAACACATTCGGCGTACAGACGATTGTCCAGTTCAAATTACATTAATTTCACGTCATAGTTCTCACTTTTTTACATTAGGTCTGAAGAGTTTTGTGCCCGGTGGCCTGGTGGCTAAAGCTCCCGCTTCACACACGGAGGGCCCGGGTTCGATTCCCGGCGGGTGGAAACATTTCGACACGTTTCCTTACACCTGTTGTCCTGTTCACCTAGCAGCAAATAGGTACCTGGGTGTTAGTCGACTGGTGTGGGTCGCATCCTGGGGGACAAGATTAAGGACCCCAATGGAAATAAGTTAGACAGTCTCGATGACGCACTGACTTTCTTGGGTTATCCTGGGTGGCTAACCCTCCGGGGTTAAAAATCCGAACGAAATCTTATCTTATCTTATCTTATCTTATCTTCAGATTTTGCCCTGAGGGACGAGTCTATTGGAGAGTGCTATCTGTCCCGTGAGTCTCCACAGTCATATAGACAGTCTATGTACCACAAATAACTGACACTACATTAACAAAATCAACGCCATCCTTGGCAGTTTCACTATATCACCACTTGCACAATATCAGAAATGTGAGTGATGATATACTGTGGCTGAGACTGTTGGATGTGATGGTGTTTGTAGCTGACTGTTGTGATGGTGACTGTGACTGTTGGTTGAGACAGTGACTGAAACTGTGGCGGTAGTGTCGACAGTAGCTAATGTTGGTTTTTGTTAGAAACTGCAAGTGTTGGTAATGTTAAAAAAAATTAATGAGCTTCGTTCTTATTGCCAGATCTTTATTAAGGAGTTGTACACGGGAATGTGTCCGTGCGGAGCTGGACTGGTGTGCGCCAGGACTTCGTCCACCTGTCAGCTGCCCTTACCGGATGACATAGACCAGCTGACCTCACCAGACAACGCAGTCAGGAATAACGCCTTTGACACAGTTGAGGACAACTCCTTCAACGAAGACGGGGACAATTCCTACGGATTCTTCTGAGTGGGAACTGGGATGGGTCTCCATCCTACCGTATACCTCTCCACTTGCCATCTTCTAATCCTACCTCTGCTGTTCTGTGACGTGGACATTTTCTTTTCAAGGAAAAACGTGTTGGATATATATTTTCTCGCGTTTTTAATTGAGAAGCTAAAAAAATGCTGATTCTTTAATGATAGTTATTTTATGGAACCAATAAACCAGCAGAAGGTCACGAAATCGTAGCAACAAGATTACACACACATCACAGAACAGGTCGGACTTGAACCCATGTCATGTCTTGGGTGGGGTGGGGTGGGGTGGGGTGGGGGTAATGGGAAGTAGTAGCAGTAGTGAGACACAAATAGCAAACAGCAGTAACTATGAGAGACAAAAAGGGTATATGAGATGGGAGTAGCAGTAACGATAAGAGACACAGATGAAGGTAGGAAAGAAGTAGCAGTAATGGTGAGAGGGACACAGAGGAAGGTAGGAAGGAAGTAACAGTAATAGAGAGACACAGATAAAGGTAAAAACAGAATAGCAGAAATGGTTATTTTAAAAGGTAGTTTAATTACACTTCATTAATTAACTTTCTAATCCTTCATAATCTCCAACAATCCTCTCATGACTGTCAACATTACTTTATAATCTCCAACAATCCTCTCATGACTGTCAACATTACTTTATAATCTCCTACAATCCTCTCATGACTGTCAACATTACTTTATAATCTCCAACAATCCTCTCATGACTGTCAACATTACTTTATAATCTCCAACAATCCTCTCATGACTGTCAACATTACTTTATAATCTCCTACAATCCTCTCATGACTGTCAACATTACTTTATAATCTCCTACAATCCTCTCATGACTGTCAACATTACTTTATAATCTCCAACAATCCTCTCATGACTGTCAACATTACTTTATAATCTCCTACAATCCTCTCATGGCTGTCAACATTACTTTATAATCTCCAACAATCCTCTCATGACTGTCAACATTATAATCTCCAACAATCCTCTCATGACTGTCAACATTACTTTATAATCTCCTACAATCCTCTCATGACTGTCAACATTACTTTATAATCTCCAACAATCCTCTCATGACTGTCAGTAGTCGATTTTTCCTCTGGGGCGTCCCTTCCGGAAAAGGCCTTCCTCTGGGGCGTCCCTTCCGGTTTAGGCCTGCCTCTGGGGCGTCCCTTCCGGTTTGGGTCTTCCACTGGGCGGTGTATCCGGTCTAGGACCAGCAGCTGGAGGGTCACCTTTTCACACCTATGTGCTAATGACCATGACCTCGCCCTCGAGACTACCTCACCCTTGACCCCCCAACCAATACCCCCACCCCCCACGACCCCCCCCGCCTCGCGACCCCACCATCGCGCGGCCCCGCCCCCCCGCGGCCCCCCGGGCCCCCCGCGGCCCCCCCCGGGGCCCCCCGCCGCCGCGGCCCTTCGCGCGCCCGCCCCCCGCGCCCCCCGCCCGCCCCTTCGCGCCTTCTGCTGCCCTTCTGCAGCGTCCTCGGATCGCCCCCGGCCCTCAAATTTTTTTTTGTTTTTGTCAAATTTTTTTTAAATTTCTTTTTATTGTGCCCCCCTCTCCTTGGATAAAAATTTTTGGATCCCCCTCTAAACTTTCACTCCCCCCCCAAAAAATTTCTCGATAATACCAAGTTTTTGGATTCCCCCCAGGGGGGTTTCGAAATTCTCCATCCCCTCAGATAAAATTTTTGGGTTTCCCCCCCCCCCCCTTTCACCCCCAACCCAAAAAATTCTCGATATCAAAGTCCCACTTCTCGGTCCCCTCCCATTTTCACCCCCCCCCCACCTAAATTTTTTCTCAAAACAAAGTCTCCTCTCCTTTGGATCAAATTTTTTGGAATTCCCCCTCTCACTTTCACTCCCCCCCAAAAATTTTCTCGAAAAATCCCAAGTTTTTGGGTTTCCCCTAGGGGGTTTTTCAAAATTCTCCAATTCCTTGGGTAAAGGGTTTTTTGGAACCCCCCCTTTGGGGGTAAGCATCAAAATGGGGGGGGACTCCTCCTATGGGGGCAGTTACTACAGGTCTAAAATTTTCCTCTCATTAAGTAAAATGAACTAAAATTTTCCCCCCTTATTATTTTAAAATGAACTAAAAGTTTCCTCTATAATTTTTAAAAGAACTAAGAAGGGGTTTCTGGGTGGTCAGTGACGTCCGCGCACAGGCTGTCTGCGCCTTTTTTTTAGTTCATTCAAATTTTAAAAAGGGGGGGCCCCGCAGGGCTCACCACACAGGTTGAATCAGTCGAACTTTTAGTTTATTCAAGTTAATTTAAAGGGGCACTTACCAAGGGAAAAAAATTTTATATCGAAAGACACATTTCAGGATAACATAATACACAATTTTTTTTTTATTATTTATTACATTTTCATTTATCAGAAAGACACATTTCAGGGTAACACTAATAACAATTTTTTTTTTTATTATTTATTATACAAGCAATACTCACTCTATTCTCCCGTTTTGAAGGGGGAATCAGGGGGTCCATAACCCAAGGGTTCATTTGTATTTAAATGATATTTTTATATCAAAAATGACAAAAATTTTCTTTTTAATTCTTTCCCTACATATTTCACCTTTTTCATTACCTATGACTTACACGTAATAATTTTATCTACTTTTATAAAACATTCTTATTTCTTGCAGTGTTAATAATGGCAAAATGCGAAAGGTTTTCCCCTTGGCTTGCGACATTAGTTTATCTTCCAGCAATCTTGACAGAATACATTTTTTGCTTTTTAAGGCTTTCAACTCCTAAAAGGGGTTTTCACACATTTCAGATTTCAAAAAACCCCCGCTCCCCTTTTCTATATCATCATATAAAGGGGTGCAGGGCTGAAATTTGAAAAACCTAAACCTAAAAAATGGTTCCTTTTATCGGTGTACAAATTTTACTTTCAAAACTAAAAAAAAACGAGTCAGTTCGGTATAAGAAATTTACATCATCACCATAATGCTGTTTTAAAATTTTACCAAAAAAGATACAATTCTTTTTAGCTACTCAAGAAAATTTTAAAACCGAGATAAAGGGTTTCTTAAAAATTTTAATATATCTTTATTGAATGTGCAAAAACTCTATCTTGATTTAAAAATTTTGATATTTTTTTTCAAGGATCTTTACTCGCCTTTAAAAAATGCTTTTTCATTTTGATTATCTAATTTTCAGCATACTTTGTAATATTCAGCAATGATTTCCCATATATGGCGTTATTAGTTTAATTGAGAGCTTTTGACTTTGATAGGAAGACATCTTGTAGCTGTTCTCTGTGCGTAAATATTACTTTTTTTATTTTTTTGTTTGTTTTGTTATTTTTTTTTTTTATTTTTTAGTTGATTATGAAAGATTCTAAAATTTTGCCTGTGTATATCATATATGGTATGACCTTTACCACCTCACCAAAGTTCAGTGATAACGTAACAATTCTAGATGGAACAATCATTTTTCTGAGGTAAAGACTGCCCACTAATTTCATTAGATTTGGGGATCTTTCTACTTCATTTTTCAATATAGATTACAATAGGAGTAACATCTTTCTGATATATTCATATGTGATAAATATTAAGGAATTTCATCAGTGAGTCTAGCTACCTCGGGGGAAACGACCCCCCCCCCCGCCATCCACCACACTTTACTTTGGACAACCCCCAAGTACTCTCATTCAATCATTTGTACCACCTTCAAAACCACCCTTGAACACTTCAAAACCAACCTTGATCACCTTCTCAAAATCACTCTTGATCCCTCAAAAACACCTTGAACATTTCCAAAACACTATTTGAGTACTCCCAATCTACACCACTGAATACTACTAAAACACCGCTGAATTCAATCAAAGCACCCTTCAACACCTTCAAAACACCTTTGAACACCTTTGAACACCTTCAAAAAAACAACATTTGAACACACTCAAAACACCTTTTGAACATCCTTTGAACATTTCCAAAACAACACATGAAACACTTCCAAAAAAACACCATTTGAGTACTCCCAAATACACCACTGCAATACTAAAAACACCACTGAATACACTCAAAACACCACCAAAATCACCATAAACTAAGATCAACACACACATCCCACCCCCCCAACCCCCCCCCCCCCCAACCCACAACACCCAACATTTTTTGTTCGTTTTATCTAATTTCATCAGAAAAGTCACAACACCCACACCCCCGATTTTTTCTCGTTTTAACCTTTTTAGTTCATTAAAGTTAAATAAGGAACACTACATCAGAAAAAAGCCCCAACAACACCCACTTATAACATCATTTTTTTCGGTATCTCTAAGTTCGACAACACACCCACAACACCACATCCACAACACCCATGAACATTTCCCAAAACCACTATTTGAGTACTCCCATGGTGTACCACACTGAGTTTACTACTAAAACACCGTGAATTCAATCAAAACACCTTTCAAACACCTTGCAAAGTACAGTCACCTGAACACCTTCAAAACACTCTTGGAAACACTTTCAAAAAACACTTGACATTTCAATCAAACTGAAACACTTCCAAAAACACCATTTGAGTACTCCCATTTACACACTGTTTACTACCAAAAAACACCGCTGATTCAATTCAAAACCCCTCAACACCTTCAGAAACACCTTGGAACACACTCAAAACACCCTTCAACACCGTTCAGAAAACACCTTTGAACACTTCAAAAGCACCTTGAAAACTCATCAAAACACTCTCATAATCATTTGGAACCACTCAAAACACCTTTGAGATATCCCTCAAACACCTTCGAACACCTCAAAACACTTGACACCCTTGATCACATTCAAAAAAAACAACATTTGAACACACTCTCAAAAACACTTTGCACATTTCCAAACACTACTGGAACACATTCCAAAAACACCATTTGTGTACTCCAAATACACAATGGATTACTAAAACACACTGAAATACACTCAAAACACCACCAAAAGAATCCACCTAACTAAGATCAACGCCCAGACTTGCCCACAACACCCAGCAACCCACAAACGCACGAAATTTTTTCTCGTTGTATCTAATTTCATCAGAAAGTCACACACCCACACCCCCCATTTTTTTCACGTTTTAACCATTTTGAGTTCATTAAGTTAATAAGGGGCCACACTACATCAGAAAAGTCACAAGAAAAACCCTGATTTAAACGTCTTTTCGGTATCTCTGTTCGACAAAAACACCCACATCCCAACATCACCCCAATCCACATCCCCACACACACACCACAGACACACACACACACACATCCTAACCTAGCCTAACCTAACCTAACTGTAACCGACAGAACCTAAGCCTAACCTACCTAACCTAACCTAACTTATCCTAACCATAGCCTAACCTACCTAACCTTACCTAAAATTATCCTAAACTCTAACCTACACCTAGCCCTAACTATCCTACTATAAACCTGACCTAACCTACCGAAGTACCCTAACCTAAACTTACCTACCTAACCTAGCCTACCTACCTGAACCTAACCTTAAACCTACCACCAACCTAAACCTAACATAACCTCAGCCTAACTACTTAACCTACCTAAACCTACCTACCCTAACCTAACCTAACCTAACCTATCTTAACTTACATAACCTACCTAACCTAACCTAGCCTAACCGTCTTAAAACCTACCTAACCTACCCTACCAACCTATACCTAACCTTATCTTAACCTTACCTAACCTACCTAGCCGAAACCATATCCTATCCTAACCTAAAATATATTGGAACACTTCCAAAATACATTAGAGTACTCCAGAATTACTTTGAACGACTCCATTTTTT